GAGACATTATCGATCTTAAATAATATTTTATTATTTTTAATTTTGAAAAACTTCTTTCGGCTGAGGCGACTGTAACGGGAATTGTTAACATTATTCTATAAGCAATGTAAGCATTTGGAAAAGAATCAAGTCTTTTTATTTGATTGAGTATCTCAATTAGAGTATTGTCTTCTACTTTTATGATTTTTCTTAACACTTTTAATTCAGAAAATAAGTCTAAACCGTCAATATCGGAGTGAGTATTATGTTTTAAGGAACATTCAAGTTTAAGACAATATTTTTTCAAATTCTCATCATCTAATGATCTCAATTTTTTCCCACTAAATAGAAAACCAAAAATATTTTCATATACTTCAAATTGTTCAAATTTATTTTGAAGTGAAAAGATGGCTTGGTCTACTATGTATAAGAAGTAATCAACTCTAAATGATTCTTCAAGAGATCTTGTGATTTCATTATCAACATTCTCATCAAATTGTTTTTTTCTATAAATTACACATTTCTTACGAAATACAGGTTCTATATTCATCTCTAATGCAATTTTCTTAGCCGAAATCATAGTACTTGTAAATCCTTCTTTTCTATATGTTTTAAAAAAAGAAACTAAACCTCTTAATTGATCTATAGCGACATCAAAATCTAACAAATATTTTAAAACACTATTTACAATATCAAATAAAAAATATAATAAACATAAGACACAAAACAAAAATAATATTAGAAATTAGAATGATATTACTGAATTCAAAAGCTATGAAGACTTGATTTCCAAAAATGAATCGGGCTGCTGTAATATAGTTTTCTCCAAATTTAAAATATAAACTATCAATAGAACGAGTAAATTTTTAAGCTTTGAATAAGAGAGATGTAAGATTAGAAAAAAGAAAGTGAGAAGAAATAGAAGGAAGGAGAATAGAATATATAAAAATAAAATTAGAAAAAAATAAGGTAAAAAAAAAAAGATAACTTGTACATTAAAAAAAAAAGTACACAACTTTTTATTGAAAAGTCAAAAAGTCATAGTCATATCTATCATACTATCACTTCATTGAGCCGTTTTGCATTTATTGTCTTGGTTCTAACAAATTTTTTTTAAAATTTAATCCTTCCTAATTATCTAAAAAATGGGGCCTTTGCATTTATTGTCTTAGTTCTAATATTATTTTTTTTAATTTAATCCTACCTAATTAACTAAAAAACGGGGCCCCCTAAAATTGGGGGCCTAAGGCAAAAGACTTTTTTTTAAGCCTTGCCAGCCGCCCCTGCGTACGTATTTCATCTGAAATATTGCTCCTCAAATATTTCACGAGTATTAGATTTTATGGCTTCTCTATAGACAAACTTGAGCATGCAATGAATATAATATAATGGAGTATATATTAAGCAACGGCAAATGGATTGCAGTAATTTATAATAATAATATGGTTACAAAATCACGTTAGAAATACAAAATGGAAGCATAGTACTTAATTAGTAGCAAGGCAACATCAATATAGGTAGAAAGAAAGCAAAGCATTTAGGAAATGGAGACCCAAAATGTCTCCCAAGTTGGTATCCCTTTGATCCTACTCTTGCACTTCCTTGGTCTTATGTATCCATTTTCACCTAGTAATTTTCTACTATCACTTTCATCAACGTTGTTCCAGAAAGAAAGCGTAAGTCTGCCATCGAGGCGTTCTGCTTTGAAGCAAGACTTGGGGGGAGTGATAGTGGTGGCTTTCAAGATTAAACGATCACCTTCGCGATGAGGCCTTAGTTGAAGACCATTATTAATTGAAGTGAGAGGAGGAGGAAAATGAGCTACTAGTGTTTTGTTAGTACTAGTAGTATGTTTTTTCCCACATTTTGATGGTCGTGAATAATTATTATTCTCGCTACTTTCGCTAATATGATCACTGCCTGTTTCACTCCCTAAGCTCTCAGTACACATCTCCAAGCTTTTAATGCTAAGGGTGTTAGACCTGCGCTTCACCAGAGGGTGAACGTACACTTGTTTTTCGTAATTATCATCTTTTTTCGGGTTACAAAGGTCATGTTGTATCAAACTCCACCCGTCGCCAATAATGTTATTGTTCCCCCCCTTCTTTTGCAATTCATTGAAATCACTCTCTTCTCCCTTTTTACACAATGCTTTCACAACTGCCTCCATGCACGATTGCAGAGTTGAGCTTGACCCCATCTTTTTTATTTTGTTTTTTAAAATTAACAAAACAGAGGATTTGTTCTGTTACTTGGTTTAAATATTTTTGGTATTGATCACAAACCAAAAAAAAAAAAGAGGAAGAGAAATAGAATGTGATAGATAAGATAATTAGTGAAAGGGCAAGGGTTCAATTTATAGAAACAAAAAGTACTTGAGAATTGGTCAGATACAACAGACAAGTGGTTCTCCTTGGATTATACTATACTTTGTTTTGATTGTTACTTAAAATATATATTCTATTGTTAACAATGAAAACCCGAACAACCAATTTGGTGTGTTCCCATTGTTACTTAATTTCTTTTTCCCTTTACATAATATTTCATAATACTATTTTACCCTTTACCTTATACTCCTTACTTAATTCTAGTCAAACCTCCTACCCTAGAATAATAAATGATATTTTAGTAAATTTATAAATTACAATACAATACGATATAGTCAAACCAAATACTATAAAAATGTTATTAAACAACAACAAACAATACAGTCTAGCCAAATATACCATACAGTTCAATACAATACAATACATTATGAAACAATGAGTAACAATGAATCAAACAGAGTGTTAAAGGCCAATTTGAAAGGTGTCACTGTCCTTACTTCTGCAGTAGAGAACGAGGATGAAATACTGGGTGAGAACAATTCCAACCAACCTTGTGAGAATTCTGTTTCGTGAACAACAACAAACAATACAGTCTAGCCAAATATACCATACAGTTCAATACAATACAATACATTATGAAACAATGAGTAACAATGATCCAAACAGTGTAAAAATCCTACTTCCTCAATTGTCAAGGTGTTTGATTCGTCTAAGATTTAAGAGAAAAAGTAAAACTTTTAGGATTTGTAGTATTATTAAACATGTCACTTATCAAAATATATACTAAATTATTTCCAGAAATATTGAGAATGAATTAATTATAATTAATAATAAAAAACTAAAGTCATGTAAAAATGAAACAGAAAGAGTAATTAAATTATGATAATGAGTTCCAAATACCAATTATAATAGTCTCATGATCATGGTTTTCCTTTTAAATTGTCTATACCCCCAAGTCCTAACTATGAAAAAGCAAAATAGAAAAAGATTTGGCTAGAGTTGTGAGAGGCGGATTTATTGGATGATGCAAAGTGCAGGAGCCAACTTTTGATGCCACTGAATTTAAGTTATACAAAGAATTTTTACATCATCAATTTAACTTCGTAGCATAATTCAAACTTTGAGAGTTAAATTTTTAAATTTCAATTATAAATTTGAACATGGAATCCTCAAGTTTTTTTGACTAATATTTACATATTTAGAAAGTATATAAAATATTATTAATCACGATAATTGATAATTCAAAATATTTAAAAGACATATGGAAAAATCACAATATGAATAAGATAGTTTGAGTCTCTAAACACAAAAAAATATTGATTATTACAGTTGTTAAACCCCTTAACTTCTACTCTGCTAATGTACAAAATATACGGACGAGGAAAAGTCGAAGAAAGTGGGATGTAAGAATAATTCGAAATAGAACGAAGCTAATTGGCCATTGCTTCCTTGGTGCTCTTTAGCATTGACATAGGTAATAAAAACTTAATAACTTTGATTTAAATTACATTTATTTAAGAAGTTCTTGAACGTATATAAATTATTAATTTAAAACTCAATAATTTTTTTAAAAAAATTCTTGAACTCATAAACTTTATTTGACTCTTTAGTTTAACTTATTTATAATTGATAAATTCGGATTGGTTAGATTAGGAATTGATGTAGAACTTTTAGACTAAAAGAGAGTGAAAAAATATTTCTGTCCTTCCTTAGTAAGCCAACAAAATGTTCCAAAACAAAGGATTTCTCAATAGCTTGTGTTTTTAAGAGTTTAACTTCGACTAATGATATAAAGTAGAAATGTTTATATGATCAAATCATTTAAAAAATAATTGTGGATTATTTTGTTTAGACAAATTTTATATATATATATTTCTTCTTTCTAATGCGTAAAACAAATATAAGACAACCACTTTCTTGAATATTATGATAATATTGTCAAACATTTAAATTACCAACTGCACAAACATATACCAAATTACTGAAGAAATGGACCATAATTAATCTTCTTTTAATTTTTTAAAGAGAAGAATTTAAGACGTGCTAAAGCAGAAGTTTGATTTGTGCCCTGTCTGGGGCACACACCAACAAAAACAACATAAAGTGCTTTTTAATTAGTTTGAAGCTTTTGCTATTGGTCCATCTATAATCTAAAAAAATAAAGAATCGCGCATCAGCTCGAAAAAAATCGACAATTGTCGAATGAGTGATTAAAATTTATTCGTAAATCAACATTTGTCAAAAGACTGTTATGATTGTGATTAAGATTATTTTTAAAGTTAGTAGGTAGGTGCAACAAATTAAAGGATGATATTAGTATCTGATTAATATGTACGCGTTATCTGGTTGGCTCATTAATATGCAGTATTTAACCACTAAGAAGCAAACAACTTAATTCCTTTATCTCTCATTCAATGTTTGTTTCTTATTTTTCCTTAACCTTTTTCTCCACTACACTGTACCTACTCTAATCTAATCACTCCTTAGTTCTCATCACAAGTGTACCTATGTCAGAAGATTTTTTAATTTCAATTTTTCACATGATAAAATTAAAAGATATTATAATGCATTCCACATATCTTTAGTATAGGCTCACAAGATTCAAGACTTTTTTACTTTAATTTTTTAAATTTTGTGTCAAGTTAAAACTAAATAGTACGGAGGAATATATATAGTTTTAGTGGAAAGCGAATATGCATCCGCGCGCACTCACTATGACAATAAATTATGTTACTTCAAGGTCTAGATTAAAATTAAATATACATCCCTGCTAAAAAAATGAAGGAAAATAATTCAAAAAGGAGGAGTGGAAATTAAACTGTCTATTAATTAATGACAACAACTAAATTATCGTTAACTATGTATTTTTAGGAGCAATTAGCATTCTTTCGTAAATGTCCCTAAAGCCTTTATTTGACCTTATTAACTTGATTATTACCAGCTTATATATGTAATATTGTGAGACTAATAATCCATTCTACTTTCTTGCTTTTGTAATCTGTCCTTTAAATATTTGCTTTTTTAAAAAAAGGACCATAATCTGTCCTTTAAATATTTGCTGCTGATTCATTTTCTTTTTATTGAGAGATTTGTCTAATATTACCCGACCATTGCTTAGTATACATTCCTATAAGCCTAGTAATATCATTCTTTTATATGGTGTGTTTAACTAGACACACAAATTTTAAAAAAGAAGAAGTCTTTTGTCCAATACCAAAAATATTCTTAAATTTGTGATTTTAAACCTGTCGTGTTATTTCAATGGCCGTAAAAACATGTTATTAAAGCGTAAAGGTAGTTTGAAGTACATTTTTCTTTAAATAGACTATAAAGTCGCATGCATGTATTTTACAGTGAACACAGCACATTATGTGACAGTTTGATTACACTAATAACTTTTTACATAATATGGCAGCAATAGACTTACTTCCCTTTCTGCCCTTCATTTCACATATGCAAATTTTGAACATAGATTCAGTCGAATATCATCTAATTTACTGGAGTTGGAATTTTATATAGTAATATACACAGTCTACTCATTGCATTTTTCACAAAAATATTAATGAACCTTCATATTTACAGCAGGTAGATAACTAAAGTTGAAATGTTTCAGCAAATTCCAACTGATGGAATTGTAGCCAAACTATAATTTAATCGTCTGAAGATAACAGTTACAACTGACGATTATAAACCAAAGTCATCATTGCTGTATGATTTTACTAGCCTGCCTGACGCTAATGGAACTCAAGAACCAATTACACCATATGTAGCTTCATTGAGTAGGTTCAGTGGTATATATATACCTTTCTAGCTTGCAGGTGTTTCTGAATGTTTACATGAGATGCGAACAGCTTAGCTTCTTCCGTCTAGGTACTTCTATGTTGATTTAGAGAAGCTTCCAAGAATTTTCCGCAAGCTTTAACTGATATACATGAAAGCACTAGAACAAGGTCTGAAACGCACAGGTCTACTTGGGTGGCCGCTCTAGTGCTATCCAACCAAATTTCCCTTTTCGGAAATCTTGCAAAATACGAAATGCTGCTTGATTATTGTCCGCATTAAATAACTGAACAGCCAGCTTCTGAACAAATCTGCAACCAAAACAAATAAAGATCAAAATGGAAATATAGAACAAATCCTTGCTGGGGAACCCATAACTTCACATGCACCCTTTGGGTATAATATGCCATACGCACATTTTACCACAGCGCCCATCTGCCTCAATCTTGTAGCGGTCACAAAGAGCTTTATTACCTGGTCAGAGTGACCCATGTCAGAAAAATATAAGGCAGCATGCATACAAGAAGCTTAAAATGAACTATTTAGGGACAGCCAACCCCTAATGCAAATGAGTTGTTACATACAAGAGGCTCAAAGTACATGCCGAGGTGCAATAAAGATCTAACAGGATGAGTAATTAGTCTTATCATCTAAATAACATCCGGTAATGAATTCTTCAGCAACGTGTTACAACAAGAAATCTACCTACACGAGTGAATAGCATGTGCTATCTGAATGACAGGAAACTAACCAACAGTTGGAAGCCTTGAAAGCATCTGTACAAGAATGGCTGCAACATCTGCAGCATCATAAGATCTCTCTCCAATATCATCACATATGGCAAGCTTTATTGCTGCTGTCTGATCACTGATCCTCATAGGAATTATGCCAGGTGAATCCAGTAGCTCTAGATCTTTCCCAAAACGGACCCACCTTTTAATAAAAATGAGCAGTAGACAATCAAAAGGAAGAAGAGTCTGTAAAATCTAACCCAGTCTTTTCAAATTAAATTGATGATAGTCTTCCTTCTTGCATAACAATTAACAATTACATGGACCTAAGTATGGTGAAAATTTTCACTCAGTTTGACTTA